TCCTGTAATTCTGTCACTAGGGGAAACAGTGTGAGCTATCAGAGAACCAGAGCTGATACAAAACATTTGCACTACTTTTTTAACTTTAAAGGCATTTGATAAAGCTTGTTTTTAGTTCATCTTATAAAGTTAACTTAATAAACAGCTGTAATAAACTGTATTTTTCTAAACATAATAAGCCATAAGCCCTACAGGACATGTGTCCTGGACGGACAAAACAGATTGTCAACAGAAAACAGTTGCAAGTGGCTGGGGAGAAGTGGGTTTGTACATCTGGACAGTAATGGGTCGAAGTTGTGCTCCTACTAAAGCGGAGTTGAAGTTCCTTTTAATACTAAGCCAAGACGTTCTAACCCACCTCTCTCTTTTTCTCTCTCCCTACACCCCTACATGCTTTTTCTCCTCTTCTGTCCCCTCCCTTCTCCTCAAGTCCCTTCCCTATCACCCTCCCCTTTGTTCCTAAAATTCCACGACTTGCTTCTGACACCATCAAGTAATGCTCTTCTTCTTTTCCCATCTCTTTTCTTGGCTCTTATCCTCTGCCAATTTCTCTCTCTTTCTCTCCCTCACTCTCTCTCCCTCTATCAGGTCCTCCACGGATTCGGCCTATGAAGAACATCACTGCAGTGGCTGGAAGAAACACTTTCATAAACTGCCGTGTGATTGGGTATCCTTATTATTCAATCAACTGGTACAAGGAGGGACTTCTGCTGCCTGACAACCATCGCCAGGTGGTGTTTGCTTTCTGCATTTCTGCTCAAAGACAATACAGTTATACCAGAGCATATTTCCCATAGAGCCCGGTATAACATGAACAGTATCTAGGTACATTAATCGTATTCTATACATATTGTTCAGCAGCTCCTTCAGTACTACTTTGATCATATCAATTATTTTCAACTGATTATCCAATCACTGATCATTTTCACAGCAATGTCAGTGTCAATTTATTTATAAAGCACATTTAATAAAAACAGCTGCTGTTGACCAAAGTGCTGTACATTGCAATATAAAACAAGGAATATGAAAGGAAAGGGATAAAAAACAAAAAGGAGAAAACAGGAATGAAAAAAGAAACCACACTGACTACAAATGATATTTACAATTAGTTATAAGTTAAGGGGATAGCAGAGAGTTCCACATAATACAAATTATTACAAGGCAACATAATAGTGCTAAACCTCAAAGTTGAAGCAAATGGCTGATCAGT